GCATTGACCAGGCTGTCCTCAACGAGGACAGGATAAAAGGGAGCGGCTTCCTGCCTAGCTTAGTCCTCAGTCAGCAAATCTGCTCCCTGAGGGGATTTTCTCACTCACAAAGTGTATGTTTGGGCTTTGGCTCCTGCAGATTGAAGAAGTCAATCAGCAGGTCACTTCTAGCAGCCGGGACATCCAGACCAGCAGCCACCAGCTCACTGAATTGAGACGCGAAATGCAGAACCTGGAGATCGAACTGCAGGCGCAGCTCAGCACGGTATGTGGGGCAGGATCGCCGACGACCCTTCCCTCCTTGGAATGGGCAGGGAGGGGTAGAGCTCTGGTCCTAAACTCCTGCATTTCCACTTCCAGAAAAACTCTCTGGAAAACTCCTTGGCAGAAACCGAATCTCGCTACGGCTGCCTGCTGCAACAAATCCAAGGGCAGATTAACTCTGTAGAGGAGGAGTTGGCCAGCATCCGCTGTGAGATGGAGAGTCAGAACCAGGAGTACAAGATGCTGCTGGGCATCAAGACCCGCCTGGAACAGGAGATTTCTCAGTACCGGGCACTGCTGCAGGAGGGACAGCAAGACATTGTGTACGTATTCCATATGTGAGGAAGGGATTAAAAAGAATTCCTTGTGTCGTTAATTGCTAATAGAGACTTCTTGTCCATGGAGCTACATCAACATCTTCTTTGACTGAATATCCAGTGGTTAGGGGGGTTTTGGTGAATTAATTACTCTTCTTTTACAGTGCCTCCCAAGGAGCTTTCCAAGTAGGTGGGAAATCCTCCCATTCATATTCTTCTACTTCCTACTCTCATTCCCAGAGTGGTGACATGACCGGTAAGACAACACTTTGTAAAGATATGTTTATTAGTGGGTTACATCTACCTCAATGACTACAATATATTTGTCAGAAAAAAGTTTTGTATTTTGGGCTGCGCAAGATTCCCAGGTCCAGTAGCCCAGGAGGGAGAGAACCTCATTGACTCTGTCAGAGAGGAATCAGGGGTTAAAATACAGTTAGTCTTGCCCTTCCCGCTACCTAAATATAAAACACAGATTATGAAGTTTACAGGATGGGATATGCTTTTTTGCTCATTGGAATAAAAACCCCCACAGTTCTGAGAAAGTGCCTAGGGTATTGCTGGGCTCAGACCCTCTGAGCTTCTCTTGCTAACCCAGCATGTTAGGTGAAAGAATTCAGTTCAGCCGGAAAGATCAGATTTCTCCTTAAGGCAATCATTTGCTCTGTCTTTACACAGGACAGTCAAGAGTGTGCTAGAGCAACAGCAGTGATGCTGGCATCCTCCAACTAAGACACATTGAACATGGACAACGAGAGACTGAACCAAGCACTTCTGCAGCACAGCTGACGCACTGGAACAATTTGGAAGGACTGCCTCATCACCTGCCTCATCACCCCTTCCTCCATTCTGCAACGCTTGTCTTACGCAACTTGTCTTTGTCGACTGGTCCTTTGTTTAAGGGCTTAAATTCTGCTGATAACACTGTCTCTAATAAAACTTTACTTCTGCAATGCAAATAAAAACAATGTGTCTGAGAAATTCAATTTAACAAACTTTGAACGGGTATTTATCAAGCTAACCAAGCAAGTACAGGTTGTCCAATCATACCTTGTAACATAATCTTCAGACAATCTATTTTGCACTAAGAAAATGGACACCATGATGAGATAATATCACTAAGTAAAAGGAATGTCACTAATTCTGAACACGGTTGTATGAAGGCCATGTGAAGTGTGACACCTTCCAAGCTCTGCCTATGGGAACTGTCAGTCAGGTGAGACTGTCAGAGCTCTCTGCTCAAAAGTAAGAGGTATAAGGTTGAAAACAGAAATTTATTCTTAACACATTTTTTCTCCTTCCTGTGAAATTACAAACCACTTACCATTTTGTTTTCTAATGGCTACTAACAGATTGTTTTCTGGCCCCTTGCCTTGCAGCTTTTTACTAAAGACTCTGTGAATGAGTGAAAGGAGGAAGAAAATACCAGTGATGGTCTCTGAGGATTATTTTATTAACTGTTAATATACTAAACTGTGCTCAATGCCACTACTATGACTCATCTGAGTCCATAAATCTTTGGCTTTACACAGCTCATCATAGCTAGAGTTCCTGTGGGAAGGTTTCACTCCGTATAGGTTGTTCCAGTACGTGTGGGTTTCCTGGCATCAAGTATTTCTACACCTTTGACTACGCAGAGAATTACGTATTGCTAACTTCTGTTAGGAAATACAGCCAACAAGGCAATGTGCCTTTTTCTTTCAGTGGCATGCACCAAAAACATTCCTATGTTTTATCATAGAAATTTCAATTTAAATACCAACATAATAGCAAGAACCCAATTTTTGCCAGTACACTCAGCTGGCTGATACTATGCCTTAAGAGGAACGAGAGACACATTTCATCCACTGAAAGTATTTTCTATACTTTATTTTTCTGCTTAAGAAGATAAAATATGCAATAAAATTGGAGATGAGAGGGCAATACTAAATTAGAACAGCTATTTTATACATATTTTGCTTTCTGAACATCACAGTGAAGCTCCATTTCAACCTATAAGTGTGTGCATCAGATGCACAAAATCAGTCGGGTTTCATTCAGTTACAAGTGCCTGTTGTTCCCTTCTCCACCTATCAAACCTCGCTTCTGGTATTTGCTGTTTCACTTAAGACTGAGGGTATTGTTCTGTTAGGGTAATGAAATGAAAGGTTTTCTCATCATAAACAACTTAGAAGAGTATTATTTACGTTAGATCTTCTTTCAGTAATCATGTGGTTTGGCTCTGCCATCACAGTATCGTAATTGCAGTCTGCAGTAAGTATCCACAAAGAAGAGACAGTTTCTATTCATGTTGAAACACTGGGTTTCCAAACTGACTTTTTCAGCCCAGCATCAGGAATTTGTATGAATAAAAGCCCTTCTCCAAAGAAAAAAAGCTCATTTGAGGTTTTAACAGTATAGAAGGTGATGTAAAGCAAAGGCAAAGATGAGCTTCATCTCCAAAGGCTGCCAGAATTCATTCAAGTCTCAGCTGTACTTAACATACATGTCTTCTTAACAGCTTAAAAAGACAACTCTTTTGAAGCAGGATTATGAAAACTTGAACTACAGTTACTGTATACAAGTAAGTGCTGAAAGGCTATTTTCCTTCCTTCTAATCTTCCAGAAGCACAGAGGAGTATTAGAATGATCAAAAATACAGTCTTCCACATCCAGAGAACTCAAGGGAACACCAGAGCTGCAGGATGTCTTTCCCCATTTCTGAAGTAATTTGTAGGAGTGTAAGGCCCTTGTGAAATAGATGGCACTATGAAAAGTCTTAAGTTAAACCGGCAAAACCAAAGCTATGCAAAATCTTCATACTGAAAGGAGCGGACACACTGCAAAACCGCCAGTCACTGCAGCAGGGTTAGATGACTGACGCAGTGCTCCTGCTGCTGACAGTCCGACGCCTTTGGCCTATCGCTGCCGATTCATGAGGCACTAATCTCCACCTACGTATGGGGCAAGGGCTGTCCTGGGGGAAATGCATGGAACACGCCATAGGCATGCCAAAAGCACAGCATGCCTCCCTGCCTCCGTCTGAGGCTGGCGGCTGCTCCAGAAACCTTGTAAGATGTTCAATCAGGTATCTTGATATCACCGTCTGCTCCTGGCACTCACTGCACTTCATCCCTGCTTCTTAGAAAAAGCAATACAGTTGCTTATTGTTCTGAAAAGATCTACAGGAAAGGAAAAAAAAAGGGCTTTGGCAGGGAGGAATTTAGAATACACTTGGTTAACATCATTGATAATAACAGCACATTCTAGCAGGCAGAGAGAAAGAGAACAGGAAAGGATGGCTATACTGGAAAACGTTAATTTCCCTTGGGAATTACTTTTAAACTTTTCATTTTACAGTGGCAGGAAGGGTTACTGAACTAACAAATAAGATAGACTGTAGAATTAAAATAGCTCACATTTAAGAGGATTTTCTGGAGGTCTACACATGTGCAAGGTCTAAGAGTCCATCAGGGAATCACATAAGGAAAAAATAAGAATAGAATCTGGGGTTATGGAAATCGTTCACCTCTGAACAAACTGAAGAAATGCACAGGTAAGTGATGCTGAAGGGTGACGGGGGACGGATGAGGAATGCACAGATGGAGTTCCTGATGAAACTCATGGGAGTAGCACTCTTCTTACCAAGACCACGGCTGAGTCATTTGTTGTAGAACAATTAACTACCAGTAATTGTTTCTGAGGTTGTCCTCTCCCTCTTGTGTGACTAAAGACATATATCCAGTAATGGCATCATAGCTTCTGTGAAAACCACTGACTACTTTTGGTTCTTTTCCCCATTCGGAGTATCTGTTTGTGGCTCTGCATTCAATTTCATCAGTGAGTAAACAGCACTTGGAAAGGATCCCTAGCACTGTTTCTTCAAACAAATTTTTCTGATTCACAGAGGTTCACAGGGTGCATTATGAGTAAAAAGTCTTCCAGGGGAAAATACGATTTCAAAGCTCTAACAATCTCTTCAAATGGCTGAGGAGCCTCTCTAGCCTCTACAACAGAAAATGTCTGACCTTTTTCTGTCATCGCAAGGATTATGAATGTTAATGGCACCTTAAGAGACCTGGCTCTTCTGGCACGTGAAGGAAATTGGTATGTCCAAATTGACTCACCACAGCCATCTCAGGCCAAAGAACTGTGTCTGCAGGATGGTGGACCAAAAATGCATAGGAGACATGGAAATACCCATGAGTTACAGAACAGAAAGTCTAAAGTTTAAGTATTTGTGATACAGTTACAGCAGCAAGCATAGTTAGATCAGCTTTTCAAAAAAAAAAAAGGAGAGAGGGCCACAGAGCCAGAGAAAAGGCATCTGTTGATGGTATGAAATTACAGCATTGGGAAATGTTTGAAATTGTTGGGTCAGATGTTATGATGCAACAACACTGAGAAGGAGATACAAAATCAACACCTCTGGCATTAATGCCAATCAAATCAGCAATAAACATCTCATAGGGAAGAATAAAGGCGCATTTCAACAATCTAATGAGGAAAATATGACTAAGGAATCACACCCTGTGAGAAAATAATTTTTATTTTTTAATAATGATGACTCAGTCTCAATAACTTATGCAAAGCAACTGGTTCTGACGTGCAGATAATTAGAGCGCTACCAATAAAAGAACCATCATAATTAGAAGATCAAAGTATTACATTATCTTCAGCATATCTATGAAAATGTGTGTAGGGGTAGCAAGGGAGAGGGTAAATGGCTTTCCATGATTCTTCAGTCAGCCATAATACGCATAAGTAACTTTTACGTGTCTCGTAATCGTTGCGGCCAAGAGAGAAAATGTTGCTCCAGCCACAACTGCAAGCTGTGTATGAGTAAGATCGTAAACGAAGAAACCAACAACAAAATGAACTAACAATTTTAAACTTCCAAATAGAGATGAATTCCCACCAAAGTTTAACTCTCACTGACAGAGGCCCCTTGTCTTTCAGGCTTAAAAGTTATGTTTTCCAAAAGTTATTTAAAGGCAAAATTTTATTTCCAAAGAAGGGTTCATCACGTCCCGCTCTCTTACAGAAACCCTGCAACTGTGCAGCAGTGTCAGAGACCTCTGCAGTGTTAGAGAGACAAAAGACAGAAGGCAAGGCGGGTCTAAAGGGTCATCACAGCTGTGTCTACTATACAAGGACAAAATCCCTACCATCAATTAAGCAAGGTCAATCTCAAAGCTGTTTCTCTTTTCCATCCAAAGCTCCCGCAATGGACACACCTTCCAGACCCTTATGCCTCCCACAGATAAAAAGCTCCCCTTAGTTTCCAGCCCAAATACACTCTAAACCAGATTATGCCCTTTCCTAGGTGGACAACAGGACTGTCCTTTATTTTAAACAGCGCTGGTATCTCCTTCCTCAAGAGCAAGCTGATAATCATCTTAGCCTCCATTTTGCTAAGTTGAAAAGCTGAATCCTTTTGCTCTCCCCTCCCGAGATGAGTTAGTGATGATTTATAGATTCTACACATCTATTTCAGCTTAAAATAATCTTTGAGTGACTGGAAAATTGCACAAAATTTTTAAAAAAAATAAAATTACAGCATTGCATGTCCATTGCTCTGTGCAAGACAAAGGATTATCTCCTGGAAGCGATACTACCAGAGTTTGGCAAAAACAGAAATATCATTGCTTCTTCAAAGGTTAGTCGATTAAGATATACCACTAAGCATACTGAAAGATAGTACTCATGATGAGCTTTC